CAGGGCCTGGACTATAAGATTGACGAAAACGCCAAATCGAATTTTCGACGGAAATGTGGACAGGCTATGTTTGCAACTGCTGAGCGGTTGTGATGCTGCTAATGTCCACCACGTTTTTGGAGATTGGAGATATGTCAGATAAGTAGTTTGTGCTTCACTTGTCGATGTTGCGGGGAATTCCACTCTCGTGGCCGCAGAAGCCTATACGGCGCGCAAATGTATGTGGTCGGTGTAGACATTTGAGGCGGATCCGATGGGCATATGTCGGAACTCATGGCACTGGTACGCCAGTCCCGGCCAGGCACGATCGCAAACGGTGAGGGTTTGAAATCGAGTCAACGCTGCTTTTGACGAAGGCGATGGTGGCGAGGGCAGTGGCTGACGTGGCATCAGGAATGTTGTCGCCGGTGATGTGCGTTGAAGTGCTGGCAGTAGTCTTCGTCGCGGAGGTTGAGGTAGGGATGATGGAGGAGGTGGGGTTCGGCGACATCGACTATGGCGTGGAATGGAATCACCTGTGGTGATGACGGTGACTGGCTGAGAGGTCTGGGTTGAATCGGCAATTGGCAACCTTCCGAGCCACGGTTCTTACCGCACCTTGATAGATTCAAACTCGCCAGATTGGTAATAGTGAGGAATTATAAGCTAAGTGCCAGGTGGTAGTCCCAAACGGTCAACCAGTTGATGTTTAGATTGGACTCGGTGACTGATAGTACCACCAGCGGTCCGTCTGCGCGTGCACATTCACGACCGGGCCACGCACAACCAACCAAATGCTCTCAAAAATGGGTTTCCACTGTTCGGATTTCACGTATGCTTATGTCGTGGAAGCCAAATAAAGAAGGAGGCAAAAAGCACGATTCCCGTTGGCGTGAGGGGTGTCGATTTCTTGCTAGTGTTGAGTAGAAGCGTGATTATACGCTTTTAGTGAAAGTGTTTTACTGTAGGTTTTCATGCATGCGCATGTGACTAAATATATTCATATGGTGTGTTTCGCGTGTCGATAATGCAGGAAACTCCACCAACGTGGATGCGCATGTGGCCGAATGGGCCCGTGCGTTGAGTGGATGTGTGTGGTCAGTGCGAACGGATGGGGCGGTTGAGATAGGTATATGTTGGGCCTCCCGTCACTGGGAGGCAGATTTCGGCACAACGAATTTGCAAGTGATCAATCAAGCCGCCTCATGATGTAAAGGTGTGATCGCAAAGGGAAGTAGTTGGGATCAAGTCCACATTTTGGCGGCGGGGGCGGGTGACGGCGGTAGCAGTGAGGGCAGTAGTCGACGGGGCGTCTGGAGTGTCCTGACTGTGATGGGAATTGGAGAGGTGATAGTCATCGTTGCGAGGGCAGTGGTAGGGATAACATGAATGATGAAAATCGACAGTATCGGCCGGGATGTCTTGGCATCAGGAGTGTAATCACCTCTGGCGGTGGTGATGGGGGTGGTGGTGTTGACGGCCGTGTTGTTGTCGTAGTTGTTGTTATTGGTGGTGGTGGTGGTGGTGGCGGTGGTAGTGGTGGTGAGGATGATTACTATGATGATGATGATGATGATGATGATGATGATGATGATGATGATGATCCCAACCTATCCTGCCCACACTATCCCCGTATATTCACATCGCACGACGGCCTGGTCGGTCAATTGCGAGCTCATTGAACAGAGTCTGGCGGGCCAGTGCCTGAAGCACCAATGTAAGCTCGCCGCATCCGCCTAAACTGCCATCATCGTCACCACACATTCAGTCATCGCATGGGCCTACTAGATTACATACGTATTCATGAAAATCCGCGGTGGGAAACCGCCAGCCATACCAAACTGTCACACTCCAATCCCCCCCCCCACCCCCACCGCCACACCAGCACACGTGCGCTAGTTCGTGTCCGGCGGGTTGCCACGTGAGAAAATACACTCAGGTACGCAGAAAACGGTTTAACTTAACAACTGGACGTCTCACATATACTGGCGGTAAAATGCGACCATCTATCCAGTCCTCCGACGTAATGTTCAGAAGCGTGTCTCTTAAACCTAACTTATCAATCTAGTCAATGTAAACAGCAAGCTCGATGTACCCGTGGATCTGTTGGTAAACAACTTCGGCCAACGTGCGTCAAGTTTTCTGCCGAGTGAGTGGAATAAAGACGAAGCAGGCCACTGGATCAACACGACGTTCTCGTCTTCATTCGTCTTTATCTGAAGATCTGAACCCTTCGTGAAATTAGACAGCGGACGAATCTGTGCGTGCAGTGGCCAAATAGACAAGTTGGAAGATGAAATGTTGGCCAGGCACAAGTGCAACTCCGACGCTACCATCTTGTTTCCTGAGGCACATGACAGCCTTGTCGATTTCGCCCAGGAGTCTTCCAGCCTCCGACAAAAAGGATGAGCATTATTCGCGAAATGTCGAGTCTGTAGCAAGTAATGGTAGGTCCCTTTAGTGCCATAAGTATCCCTCAACCCACACTAAAAATCATAGGAATATCGTTCTAGTTCCGCCGACCGAAACTCGTGCTCTCCAACCACTGTCCAGTTCTGACAAAGCAGTGGTTTCTGTAACATACTCTTTCTCCAACCTCCCTGGTGTAGTATAGTTGCCCTTCATATCAACGTACAAACATGAAAATTTATGATTTTGTTACATTTATGCATCATGTTAGTGTATGAGCATCTCCCTCAGGGATTACCACACTTGATCCACAGGAAGGCACCAAAATATTTGACTCGCGGCAAAGCGAAAGACGTTTTGATCGGCTATACCTGACGTTCGAATTGTAAACCATTTCTATGTTTTCAAATATAAAATGACAACATGGATTTTGACAGTTCTTGAGAAGATGAAGCGGGCTCAATGGCTAGTCGTATATTTTCAGCTTGCAAGTAACAGATGGGACTACGAGTCAACATGAAAGACGCACGCGTTCACATGCGAACACTTACAGCTCCACGAATCACCGCAAGGCTTTCCAATGGGCTCTTCGTCGACCAGATCCAAGATGTCAAGTCATTGCTGAAACCAACTGAGCCTTCTGGTGCAGTTAGGGCCTCTATCGTGTCACCTGATCCCCCACCGCCGCCTACAAATTTGAAAAAATTCCCATGCGATACCATCTTAAAAGGTCCAGAGAAATGGAGTCAAGTCAGAAGATAAACAATAATCACAATAACCGGAGCACTGCTGATCAACCCTATAAAATATTTTGCCAGTGGTAGTAAATCACGTGAGAGAAGGATAATGCATTTTATGTTGCCCCACTGCAGAGCAAGGAAGCAGGAATTATTACCCAGAGCAAAGACTGCGGCGCGGGTGGTGAGAAGAGTGAAAAATGAACGAGGCTGCTTCATCGCAGCAAGGTCCGTCCACTGACCGAGCGGACATCTGGTGTCTGGAGGAGAAAACATCTCCACAACTTTGACTTCCTTGTTACCATCATATCCACCGGCGGCGATGATTTTCCCCCTAAAGTGTGTCGCTGAGAGAAATGCGCGTGCAGTTCTCATGGAGGCAGCTGGTAGCCAGAATTCGGCGGTGTTGGATGAGGTGGCCTTCCCTTGCCAGTCTGCTCGCAGCTGACAGAACTCCACGGAAGCAGTCCAGGCAGAATCATCCTTACCGCCAATAACGAAGAACCGATTGTCGTGGGGTAAGCACACAGCAGCTGGACCGTTCCTCTTCTCCCGTAGATCGGGCAGCCTGTACCACCTGTTGGGGACATGCGAGGGAGGAGTGGTGCGGATGAGCGATCGAGGCAGCAACATTTACGAAAAAGTAGGAGATCTGCGTCACGAGTGTTCTTACCTATCCTGACTGACGTCATACACTTCACAGGAGGAAAGGCGTTTAAGTGTTCCTCCTTCGCTGCGGTATCCACCAAAAATGGCAATCAGCGTGTTCTCTGTACATCCCTTGTCTGCAACACCAACCTTCACGACGGAGGCTGCGTGGTCTCGGCGTCCAACGGCGAGGGATGCCCGTTTGTGCCAGCGCCGTTCTCTCACCAGGAACTCATCAACACTCGTCGAGTAGGCCTGCTGCGTAGTCTCTCCTCCGACTACGAAAATGCTCTCTTCCAGGAGGGGAAAATTGCACAAAATGTTGATAAGGCGTAGGGAGGTGTCTGTAAAATGTGTCTTATCTGTTAAAGCAAGCCGGCGTAGTTCGTGAAGATTGACTTATCTTTAATTGACTGCGTAGCCTGAAAATCTGCATACTTTTTTAAGATCAACAGTCTTTTATTTCCCAGCTTGATTCTTCCCATTTGATATACAGGAACTGGACCGCAATGGACTGCTCGAAATGTCGGTTCATCGTCGAGATTCTAAAGGGGTATACTGGAGTCAGTTCATAATGATATGACTTTTGTCAATAACCGTTAGACTTTTTAAGAATATGATTGTCTTTCCTGCAAATCTCGTCCCAAAATGAACTTCATTTCCT